ACTATTGATTACATATGTAAAAATGGATTTAGCCAAAATTTAGATTCTAGTTTTAGTCAATCCAAACGAATTTACCAGTCAGTTCGTAGAGGTTCATTCAGAAATATTAACCGTTATGTAAATAAAATTTTTTTTGAAACAGTTTTAGTCAATGGTAAGAAATGTCCAAGAAAATATCTAGTTTATTCACAATCTAAGGGTTCAGTTTTTTGTGTTCCTTGCTATTTATTTAATAATACTTCTGCATTTTCAAAAAATGGTTTCTCGGATTGGAAAAGGCCAAAATCAATAGACAAACATGAAAATTCACTTTCACATAAAACATGTGTGGTAAAAATGAAAAATAGATCTTCTGAATTGAACAATGTTAATGAAGTGCTTACATTTCAATTAGAAACAGAAAAAATATATTGGAAAAATGTGCTCACAAGAGTTTGTGCTGTTGTCAAATCGTTATCTAGTCGAGGTTTACCTTTTAGAGGTGACAATGAGAATATTGGTTCGCTGCACAATGGAAATTTTTTGATGTGCCTTGAAATGATCGCAGAATTTGATCCTTTTTTGGCTAATCATTTGGCAAACTATGGTAATCCTGGGAAAGGTTATACTTCTTACTTGTCTCATTCAACATATGAACAATTTATCAAGTTAATGGTGACTAAGGTTCAAAATCAAATAGTTGAAGAAGTCATTAATGCGCAATATTTCTCCATTGTTATAGATTCAACTCCAGATATTGCACATGTTGATCAACTATCTTTTATACTAAGGTATGTTAACAACAAAGGTTTACCTGTAGAAAGATTTTTATGTTTTTTAGAAAATGTTGGACATAAATCTCAGTGCATGGCTGATACTGTGTTTTCTATCTTAAAAAAATATAATATTGATATTGCATATTTGAGTGGTCAATCATATGACAACGCAAAGAATATGTCTGGTATTTACTCGGGTCTCCAGGCTAGAATTAAAGAAGTTTCCCCATTGGCTGACTTTGTACCATGTTCAGCCCATTCCCTCAATTTAGTAGGGTCATGTGCAGCAAGTTGCTGTAAGGAAGCTAATATATTTTTTAATTTTATTCAAAGTATTTATACATTTTTTTCCTCATCAACTCATCGTTGGAACTTACTTAAAGTAAAATCTACATTGAAAAATCTTTCCGAAATAAGATGGTCCGCTCGGGAAGATGCATGTAAAGCTATAAACCAAAATTGGGATAGTGTTATACAAAGTCTATGCGACATATCAGAAAATATAAATGAAAAATCTATCACTCAAAATGAAGCTCGTGGTTTACTTAGATTAATGAACCGTTTTGAAGTTACATTTATGTCTCTATTTTGGGGTGATTTACTTCAACGATTTAATGTGGTTAGTAAACATCTACAATCAGTCAATATTGATGTATGTAAAGTGTGTGATCAATATGAAGCATTGATTAAATATGTTGTAAATCTCCGTTCTGATGAAATGTTTCAACATTATGAAGTACTAGCAATGAAAAAATGTTCTGATAATTGTTACGAAACTATTTACAAACGTAAAAAAAAAAGGACAAAACATCATGATGAAACAGCTAGTATTATTGAAAATGAAATCAATTTAACAGGTAGTTTGGAATTCAAAGTAAACACATATTTAGTGATTTGTGATTCTATAATAAAAGAATTAACAAGTCGAAAGTTAGCTTACGATAATGTCATAACAAAGTATAGTTTTTTTTTAAGACTCACAAAGATAAAACCATCAGAAGTACGTGTTTCAGCTGAACATTTGTACTCAATGTATTCAAAAGATTTGGATGTAACATTTATTAACGAATGTGTTCATTTTCAAAGTTATATTCAAAGTATGAAAAATTTTCCATCAACTATAATTGATATGAGTTCTATGTTAAAAATAGAAGGTTTAGAAGACATTTACCCGTATGTGAGTATTGCTTTTCACATGTTTTTATGTACTCCCTGTTCAAACTGTACCGCTGAACGGTCATTTTCAACTTTACGCCGAATAAAAACATACCTAAGGTCAACAATTTCTAAAGAGAGATTAAACTCACTTGCAATATTAAATATTGAATCAGAAATAACAAAACAAATTAAATATGAAGATATTATAGATCATTTTGCTGATATTCAATCAAGAAAAAAATTGTAAAATAAACAATAAATATTATTATATTACTATATTATTGTATATCATTCATTATTATTTGAATCATGGAAGATTCTAAGTAGATAGTACCTTTGACTTAAGTTATAAATTAGTTACTTATGTTTTTTTTGTATGGTTTACCTACTATTAAAAATATAATATTGGAATGCATAGGTTACCTAACCTAGTTCAAATTGCTAAAAACTAACTGCAAATTAAATTGTCAATGAGAAAGGGAAACATAAAAAAGAATTAATTTTTTTGCCCCCCCCCCGAAAAAAAAAAAATTTAGCCACCACTTCTATGGTATTAAAAAAAATTTGTTGGAAAGGGGCGCCATAAATATTGTGCCCGGGGGCGAAAAATTCCTAAATACGGCCCTGATTATTTGTTTAGATGATTATTATTTACAACATACTTGAAGGCAGTATCTTGAAAATATTTTTTATATGTCACAATAGGTATGAGTGTATGACTATTAATTTGTATTTGTTTAGGTATTGAAAAATGCATTGGTTTGGTTAGACAATTGGGAACCAAATGTTACTAAAAATTTCATATCAGAAGAAAAGTTTTTAACTAAAAACACAGCAGAAGGGCTTAGAATAACTATACAATCTTCAATTGACATAATTAACTACTTACACATGTGTGGATTTGATTATGTACTAACATCTAAAATTAAGCAGGATTGTGTTGAAGTAAGTATTTTACAAAGTAATTACCTATTTGAAATTAGTAAAAATTATTTTATTTTATTTTACAATTACCAGAAATTTTTTGGAATAATAAGGCAAGTGGCAGGACCTAACGATCATCCATTATCTATAGCCGTGGTGTGAACCCCCCTTAAAGGGGACGTCAGAACAATGTTTTTTTCTCTCTCAGTTTCAACCACAACCTAGATATAACCGTGTGGTAAATCCAGTGGCACCAAACTCTCAACATTTTATCCAACCACTCAAATACCCACCTACAACTTACAATCAGCAACTTCCTAGTCATCTAAATTTAAGAAGTGAAGCGATCGCATGAGTTTGCCACCACTGGGAAAATCTATAGCTTTAAATCTATTTTTATACCTTATTAATAGTTAATACATTATACTACAGCACTACACTTTGCGTGAAATCGTCTTTTCTTATTATTTTCGAGTGATTATATTGAGCGAAATCACGTATTATGTTACCATTTTCGCATAATTTATAACGATTTTTAATATTTTTAATTGATAATGAATATTAGAAAGGTACACATCCTTACATATATTTTTTAATATTTACTTTTTAATTTCCAGACGAAGAAGATAATGGGAAAATTAGTACAAAAAAAAAAACAATAATTTTACGTACTATCTTAAAAAGATCACATTCGCCTAATCCTCATCATATCCCTAAATCTGAACAAAAATCTGTTGTTACAGAAAAAGTTAATCTAAAAAAAAAAAACCGTGGCTGCAGATGCTTTAGAAGTAATTAAAATGAATTGTTCATCATCAACACAAATAAGTGTAGAAGTTATTACAACAAAAAATAAAGAACCACTCAAATACATTTCAGCAGAGGCAGAACAGATGCACTCTGCATCAAGCCAAAGAAGAATGATTATTGCAAAGAAATTCCAGTCGGACAAGAAAGAAAAACACGAAGACATTTCTGAGGTATTAAAAAAAATTGCAAATCAAACTGCGAACGAAAGGTCAATCAATTAGATTGTTATGAATATTATTAAAATGTTATTTACCTACTTAGGAATATAGTTTATCAAACAAACTAAATGTATTTTTTGTAGATAGTTACATCAATCTTCATATTCATTATTTACCTTCCAGTATAATGATACTCTACTAAATGATAATTTATCTATATATTTATAATATTCAATTTGTACAATTTATAATTCAAAAAGTGAATATATTTTTTTTCCTTCATTTAATCCATATTATATTATATTATTAATAAGCATCTATAAAATGTACATAATTATACAATTTTTTGCAAAACATTCATAACAGGATTATTTTATTCACTTTGTTATTTACTGACATTTGTCCATATTTTTTACTACTTTTTTTTGGATTACCAGTAATTATTTAGTATTTTTTTTTTTCTGCATAGCTACTATACTTATAAAATATATAACAAAATCACTCATAATTTGACATGGACAAACAGTTTTTTTAAATGTAATATTTGTTTAATATACAACAAAATATCATGACTCATATACAAAATTTCAAGCATATTTACAAACACTAGATACAAATTAATTCAATACATAATACAATACATTCAAATTCAGTACAAGGTAGCATAGTCATCGACCAACAAAGGCTCTTGACTAAGGAATATGCAAAATAATATTTTAACACTTAAAACCCGTGACCTATTGAATACTGTATATTCAATATTAACTATTTATTAATGTTGTGGATATAAGCTAATATTATTATTTTATTTACATTGTAGAATTTAAAATGTTAGGTAGGAATTGTTGTAGTGTTTGTGTTTATTATATAAAAGAAATGCATAGGTTCTGTTTCAATATAAATTATATTGTTGAAATTTATGGGTACATATCTATTCATTTTCTTTTGTTATATTATATGCAATTTATAACCATAACATAAAGTTGTTTAAGTTGCACTTCTAAACTTGATACAATAATTTTTCATTCTAGTTAAAAACACAAATTGTACACTAATAGTTAATACAAATGTAAGGTGTTACTACTGATCAGTATTTTAAATGTATGATAATAATTTAATTTATAATTATAGTATCATTTAATATTCACAGAACAGGAATGTAAAATTTTAAAGAATAAATAACACACACAAATAATAATAATTCAGTCACCTCAAAAAAAAAAAAATAATAATAATTTAATTTAACTGTCTTACAGCATACAAATATTTTATAATTCACTACAATGAAAATAATAACGATTTTTTAACAAATAAAATATAATTAATAAATAATAATAACCACTATACAACCAACATAGCCAAAATAATATAGAATTCAGAGTAATTAATACATTTCATTTCTTCTGAACTTAAACATTTAATTTACGGACTTGAATTTTAAATCATTAGTTTATCAAAATAATAATTTAACACATGATTGCATCAGTGTTGTAAGCATATACAGAGAACAAAAATATAATCAATATATATTAATTTATTTTAACAAGTACTGTACAGTCTTCCAAGGTTTTTTAATAATTATTATTTTGTGTAATATATAATATATATATTAATGTGTTTTTACACATTTTGTGGTTGCCTATTGGGTCTTCGCAAATAAATTATGTAGGAAAGTAATGTAAACAATACGGCTATCAAATATAAATCCCAATTGAAACCCATTGGCTCAGCAACATCATTTGAAAGAACATTAATAAAATTTAGAAATTCCTGCAACATAAAACACATTAATTAGTAACAACAATATAATTGTATTAACATAATATTAGTTATGTTAAATTCTTACAGTGTAATAATCGTTTACCATGTGAAATAGATTAAGTTTAGTTAAGGCTAAAAATACGGGCACTTTTGCGTCTAGACTAGTTTCTGCAGCCATATCGTAACATCGTTTTGCCAAATGGATGTCCTGCAAGAAAATTAAGAAATTATGAATAAAATGCTAACATTTCACAACAAACAACACTGTTTTACTTGTTCCATTCCTAAGCCCATTTCGTGCATGTAACCCAAATTGAACATTGCCTGGGCATTGTGGTGTTGCTCAGACGCTTGACGATAATGATTAGCAGCTAACTCAAAGTCTATTTTGGTTCCAAGACCATAATAATGATAATCTCCCAGTTTCAACTGTGCCGCTGCATACCCTTGAGCAGCTGATCTACTCCAATACATCATTGCACGGACATAGCGTTCTTTTTCAGTTTCCCAAATGTTAACATCTCCTAAATGTCAAAATGATCAAATACAATTCTCTTTTTATTATTAATATAATATATTAAGTGTACATTATATATTTATACATAATGACTAATGAGAATATGATGTATTTTAATAAATTAAGTTTACCTCTATCTAATATGAATCCAGTATTGCTTTGTGCCACCTCATATCCCATTTCAGCCAAGAAAGAATATAAAACAAACGACTCTTCAAATTGATTTTCCTTATAGGAATTGTAAGCGTGCATTAAATATCCACCCCATTTACCACGTTCTGCGACGTTCTTGAACAACTTCAAAAATAAAAAATAAATTTTTAATGATCTTCTATCATTAAATTACAAAATAATAGTAAGTATACCTCTAAAGCAGTCGTGCAGGAACGCAGCACACCAATACCAGATGCATGCATTTGTGCCATATTGAAGTAAGCCAACAGATTACCAGACTTAGATGCCAAACCGAAATTTTTAACGGCCAGTTTATAATCACGTTTTACACCCAATCCCTCTGTAATTAAATAAACATATAAATAGTTTTTTAACAATTACTTTGTGTAGAAAACTTACTGTAGTAGATGATTCCCACATATAAATGTCCTTCAACCCAACCTTGTTCAGCAGCCAGGGTGAACCAATTTAAGGCTTCTGAATAATCCTGAGCTACATTGAGACCATGTAAATACATATAACCAAGACCACTCTGACCAACTGGATTTTTCAATTTTGCTGCTTTATAAAAATATTCAAGAGCTTTTTCATAATCTGGTTTAACATCATCACGCTCTTCCAAAAATATCTATGTACATATAATCTAATGTTATATATGTATTATAGACTAAAATATTGAACACAATATCTTTACCTTTCCAAGAAAACCATATGCAAGAGCATTACCATTCTCGGCCGCTCTTTGAAAATAATAATAAGCAGTTTGTATATCAATTGGTACACCTCTGCCACCTTGTAAATATAACTGACCTAATCCAACCTGTTAAAATCACAATATTAATGTGTTAACGCACATAATTAGGTAGCTATAAATTCTAATAATTGTTTAGTCATAATATAATACTTGTGCTTGGGCATCTCCTTTATTAGCCAACATTTTATAATAGTCTAACAAATCAGAATCTACAATTCCACTATTATAATTTGGATTGTCTAGCTCCTCCATTAATTTTATACGTTGAACAAGCGGTCCACCAGATAAAGATAACTCGTTTGCAACTAAAAGTTATAATGAAAAGCAATTATTTAGAGTATAATAAAAAAGGAAAAAGGGGTTTGGTCAGTTCTCAATTACCATTGTTTGCAACTGCTCTATAGTATTCCAATGACTTTTCACAGCTATATGCCACAGTGGCTCCAGCAAAATATCGGTATCCCAATGCTAATTGGGCCAATACATTACCACCAACTGCAGCCATAACGTAATGTACAAGTGCTTTTGGCTGACTTACAGGAAGGTGTAATCCAACAGCGTACAAGAAACCCATACCCTAAAATTAATAATAAAAGTATTAATAGGTACATTACAGTTAAAAGTTAAAAGTGATAATTACCAAATGAGCATCTGGATTTCCTTTTTTTGATAATTCATTGAATATTTCATACGCTCTAGGGATATCTTGAGTGTACTTCAAGCCAAATAAAAGAGCGAAAGCAAATTTTGCTTTGGCTTCTTCATGGTCTAAAGTTTGAGCTCTGTAGAAGTATTCATAGGCATCTAAATGATCTCCAAGGGTTGATTTTAATTTTTTCAAACCAGCCTGATATAATTGTTCAGCTAAACATATTAGTGTATGTTGATAACTAAGTTGACAGATTAAAGGAATTAAATAAATATTAAATAACCTACCTTCTTCTTCTCTAGATGAACTCGGAAGACTTCTAACTGGTTCCTTCCATTCCGTAACATCTATGCCATCATCAATATCATCATCACTTTTCATATGTTGTATGCTAATGTCATCATTTGACATATCTGCCCAGTAGTTAAACAAACCAACTGTTGGAAATTTAACTAACTGTAAATTATCAGAGGCATCTAAATCTTCTGTTTTTAATTGTTCTTGAGACTGATCAGATGGTTTTTCCTAAAATTATAAATACATTTAGATCAACGACTGCATTATAATGGGATTAATTAGCATTTTTACCTTCGATAAATCAGGAGCATCAACAATTTTCATGGCAGCATTATTGATGAGCTGCAGCATACGGGTGGTAGCATCATCGTGTTCATCTACATCGCTGGTCCTTAGATCATAACTATCTTCCTCATCATCTTTAGAATTGCTCTTCTCTCCGCCAACAACAGAGGCAATCACCAATACGAGAACGAACCATTGTAACAATCGTTCCTTCATTGATGGACCTAGCAACAATACACTAACAAAAACACATAGATTTACTGAATTTTTGAAAAATAATATTAAATTCAGATGCATACCATTTATGTCAAATAAATGTACAAACGACCAAATCCCAGATTGTTGCACCGATACTACAGGTTGTGATTGAAGCAGAACAGTCTAAATGATAAATAATAATAATCTGTGAATGTCGAGAACTAGGTATGATAAAAAAATTGAATTCAAATTCATTACATCACCAATTTGTAAATGCATAAATTATTCACAATTCATATTATCTGTATCATTGATAACATTCACACTGGCTAACACTTGTCTATTATCATTCTAGTACTTTGACGACCAACTAGAAGGGCAAAATGATTATAGAGATTGGCTGGTACTAGGAGAAGGAGATAGTTGATGTCCAGGATTTCCACCCTGGCTAAATCATTTGTTACTCGATAACGTACAAAATGAACTGTCCTGAATGACGACCAGACGTCCTAGGAACGCAATCGCAAAGGTATTTTGTAAAGTTGTGAGTGACAAAATTAATTCAAGAAAAAACCAAACCTATTACCTATTGTTCCATTTCCATGCCTGTTGACTAAATAGTGATTGCCCATTTGCCCTACGTGGACGGGCGCTATAGGATTTGATAACATTGTAATATTTTCGAATAATTTGTATTTATCACCATATCAACTGTCGCAGTGTGACCGCAAACGCAATATCCCTATAAAACAGTGAGTAAAGATTTCAAAACTTAAAAAAAAATTAACTCAATCAATTTTCACCTATATACCTAGGTAACCAACACATTTTGGAAGAAGTTCAAAATGTTGACACTACACTGGTCACAGGTGCATAACAAAATATTTAAATAGGTTATTTACCAATTTATTACTATACATTTTGTCTTTGGGTAAACATTAAAATAGGTATTGTATTTTGAATTATTAATATTTGTTTGTTTTCAAATAAGGTTAATTAAGGTATAACAGCGAAGCTTTAGTATGCAAACAACAAGTGTGATATATTATATGGGTACATTTTCCAAAACAAACGAATAGTACAGAATAACATATTTATTTACATTATAATATAGATATCTGTGGTTTTCTATTGTTATGTCATTATGACTTTACCTTAAGGTATAAACTGTTCCATCGGCTCGGATGACACCCACCGACCTTCGGCCCTTTCTGAACAACGGCACAATCCTTGCGCATACCAACACCCGCAGTCATACGTGATGAGCTATATATTATAATATTTTGTGTTTTCAAATAATAAATATATTCTAAATCAATATTAAACCTTATTTTTCCCCTTCGTTCATCAAATATTTGACAAGTCTATTGTTAAATAAGGGTAAGTTAATATATTAAATGATTAAATCCTTTTATAATAAATATAGGCTAGGTATATATACTGCCCTGCTAAGGATATCTATAATATCAGAAGTTAGTAAACTAGAGTGCTTACGATATATATTAATAATACATCGTATATGAATTAAAATAGATAAATACATATTATATGTATTGCTCTGCAAACACCTTATTTTATAATAATTTCTACTATTACTATTATAAGATGTAACCTATGGCAACCATTTGTAAACAAAAAAATTTTAAAATCTCAAAATCCTTGTTTGAAGGACCTCTTTTGGGCAACTTTTCCAATGCTTTTATCCGTTAAAACCTTATTAGGCCAATCACAAACATTTGAATAAAAGAAAATGACCCAAAATGGTCCAACCATGAGCCATTTTCCAGTGCTCACAAACAAGTATTTAAACATCAAAGCTTCGATAAGAGGACCAACATTTTTCTGCAACAAGTTGAAATTAAAATACTCGTTCTGCAAAAATCAATTTTTAAATTTTTGTGCACGGTAATTTCTTAAGGCAATTTTCTGTTAAGGAATATACTTTTTCAAAAGTAGGTATTTATATGCTTTAAAGTTCCTCTAATGGAAGGATTCTTCGCTTCGTATTTCGTTCTTTATTTTTTATCTTTGTCAATTTGTCATCACATTTGCCTTTTGTTTTCTGTTTATGTGATTATTTAACACAAACATTTAAAATTTAAAAATTATGTATGCTGATTGCTGGCATTCAAAAAAAAAAGAAAACTTAAAAGTTCATAATGATACAAAATAGTAAGGATATAATTTCTTCTGAAACATAGTCTTACAAATTTTGATTGACTTCAAATTATGGAGATATAAATCCAGAAAAATCATTACATTTCGATAGATGATAGAATGAGTGTTAGTATAATACTATAATATTATCCTAATTCTCAGTATACATGGTTAAAAGATTCATCCTTTTTACACTTATATACGTCTTATTGTATCTAAGTTTATACCCGTTATCAACATACTCTGTTGAATAATTTAGTATGATCGTGGTGCAAATATCGATTTTATGATATTGCGTATACGTATCTTGTAAAGTTGTAACTATATTCGGATGTATGCCATTCGAACGTTGACGATCGTTATGCGAGTTTCGAATTCACAGCACCGTCGTGCCTTAATGCCTTAACGTGAATATGTGATACTATTGTGTTATAATTTTTAAGTATTAACTTATAAGTTCTGACTACTCAAATTAATTAGGTACCTACACATTTTCAGCCAAAATCAGTTTGACGTTCATTCTCAAATCATCAACATATCATGAAAAACCAAAAAATTAAAATAGATTTTACTGCCATGCTGTACACTGGGATTATGTACACGGGTCTGGTGATTTCTGGATGGTTACTTATGCGTTTGACGATCGCTTGCTTCAAATTGCCGTCCATATTGAACGCGGCTGCTGCTGCGGCAGAATCCGACAACAAGAAAGAATGGACGTCGACTCTAGGTAACTATAATAATTATTATACACAATTGGTGTGAATATATATTTTATATAATATAAAAATTATAACATATTTATTAAATGAATAAACTATAGACAAGATAATAAAATGTATGTAATAACTAATAAGTATCCTACTGACTAATATCCTATAGGCCAGAGCGGTCCAAGGTCCAACTTTATGTATTGATGCGTTGATAACCAATTTACATAATAATATAAATACTGGGGGCCGCCAAAAGAAAGAAAAATATTCCGAGGAAGAATATTATTGTTATTATTATATAGTTGTCTGTCGATATGATCGGCGCTACTATCTCCCATCTCCGCCGTGTTATTGTTTTTTTTTTACGACACTCTTAACACTTAAAAATTATTATTAAATATATTTACTTCATCTTATTATGTGTATGAGTGGCCAACAAAGAAATTTTGAGGGCCGGATGTTGGGCCATCATTTTATAAGCTATAGCTATATACATATAGGTGATAGCCAATATATAGGTCTATTATATTAATTATTAGTAATATTTAGTACATATCATTAGTTTATATCATTGGCATTTGACTCAATCACCCATGTATTATTCCCTTTAATAATACATTTATTCAAATTCTGATTTTTAGAATTTTTAGGCATACTTAAAAACCATATCATCAAATTCCTGATATTTTATGTCATGCTTAAGGTAGTGTTTCCGAGTTGTTAAAATGTTTATACTAAGAATAATAATTCTTAAAAATGCTTTTTCTAAAATATAAACTACAAAAGTGTATTTGAAAATCCCAAAAATCAGAATTTGAATACATGCATAATTTAAACATAAAATAGTCATATATAGGTGATAAAAAGTCAATAGGTCAATTAGGTACATTAGTATCAATGACATTTGGCGCTACTATCCACACACATGAAATGTATTACAACAATGAATAGATCGTTAAATAGAATTTGTTTATGTTGTAGAAATTCGATGTATAAATAGGCTCATTTTTTTTTTCAAATATAATATTACAGTTATACATTTGATCAGAGACCAAATTGTTTTTAAAAGTAAATAATTACCTAGGTTTTATGAGAATTTATAAACAATATAAGTAGCTAGACATGCAGCTGCATATTAGTTCGATATAACTTATAAAATATAATTATATAATTAAATTCTTAAACAGCAAATATGAACAATGAACATCATGGTAATATTTATTACTTCCTCTATTAATATAATATAATTTTTATTGTTTATTAATCAGTGCATTATTAGATATTATAATATACTATATTATAGACTCTTAAAGTCCTCAACATTTAATAAAACCGTTATTTTAGTGTTAAAGATTTCAGATTTGTATAGTTTCGATATTTTTGGTACTTTTTAAATTATGATCAACAAAATGGAAATAATTAATAATTTAGGACATATAGATATGTAAGAGAAAAGAATTTTCTTAATTCTTAAAACTTTTGGAAATAGCCAGCTGCGGAGTTAGATACAATATTCAACTAGGTGATGTTAGAGCTTAGCACTCCCGCCACTCCCTAATTGTACTAATTTAATTAGATAAGAATGTTTAAATTCTTCCGTAAACATAGATTATAGGTATTTATAGAAATAGGAAAAATATATATTATGTTCTATACTACTATAGGCCTCGGAGCATATTGTAAAAATTGTTGGCTAATATCCTACGTAGCACTATTGTTCTATGGTAGCACTATATAAGCCACAAGGACTAGGCCAAATACTTACCTCAGGTACCTAGGGTCACTAGATAGTACTCATGCCACCTTCTTTATGTGTTAAAATATGCTCTGATAGGCCTATTTTCATTTTGTGATTTACATAACCATATCGCCTACGATTTCGAGTGAAGGAGGAAAAAAGGATCAATGTTCCGTCCAATATTTCGATACCTCGACTCAAGAGACCTGCGACGACTCATGCATACTCCAACAGGTAATGAATTTACTATCAATTATGATACCTTATTGGATTCTGTTACATAATTTCTCGTATATATGTGACATCATTTGTAATTTGTAATGTATTTAAATTTTAATAATTATTATGTTGTGTTATATCGTCGGTAATAATGTGTTATACATACTATTTTTGAGGTAAACTTTATAGACCCGTCACTTGTGGATATCTGATGACAAGTTTTATTTGTATATTGTAATTTTGTTTGTACTAATTTCGAGCCTAGATTACTGTTATTAGGTTATATTAGTGACATACGATATGTTATATTTTAATAACTCGTGGACTAGATGCCAGAAATGATGTGTCATAAAAATATATACTATATCCATTATCCACCGTCCCCAATCATGAAGGTCTGGAAGCGCCTAAGACTTATGAACCCCGGCTGTAATTATGAAAAAAATATATTTTCGAAATGCACATGTACACATTCAATGTGTATACACATGTCTAAAAAAATATATTGTTGCATGGTTCTATTTCATATTTGATACTATTATTATGAAGATTATGATGACTCCAGCTGAGCATAACATTCAGACCTTATGCTAAAAAAAATATTATTGTTAAATTATGTCATACACTCATACGTGGGCATAACACTTTTTTTAAATCTTTAAATTGTAGGAAATATAATGTAATACACAATGTAGTTTGTATATATGTACATAATATAGCATGATTTAAGATAGTTACAATAATACAATCTTAAATCGCGTGTTATAGGAATTTATCGTCTATCGATTATCTGAATTTCTGTTATTTCGGTCTCCAATGGTTTTACAGTTTATTTCTAGCCCGATTGCTTATTATTTTATTATGCTCGACGTTCTCTTGGCGTTATTATTGATATGAGATTCTATCTTCTATAAATAAAGTGAGTAAAAATTTATAAAGTGAAAATATAGAATTGAAGATTAAAGTTGAATTTATGAGGATAACGTTACAAGTTGAAGATGTTAGTAATAAGGGGTTTGAATCTTCAAACTGGATAGCAAAAGAATGGTGTAAAGATAGTGATACATCAATAGAATATAAAGAAAAATGTATTAAACAATACTATATAAAAAGAATGAAACCGAGACTAAGGATGCAGAAAAAATTATATTTTGAATATTTTGTTCTTATTATTGACAGAGTTATTTTTACATTTAAACAATTATGTAACCATGGTTAGGTGCAAACAGATCATTTTGTATTTTGTTATAATATACGTAAGATTGAATCAGTTGATGATAAAGAATTGTAGCAGAAACATAGTATGGTTAAATGGTTTGTGTAAATGTTACCAACAGATAAGAATAGTCAGGATATATAAGATAGTATTGATTTGTTTCTAAAAATATTTTGTTTAACACTTAACGAAAAAAACTTCTTTAGGATGTCTCGATATTTTGAAAACGACATGTACCAAATAAGTAATGAATTTTCCAATATTTTCATTGTTTTAAGAATTATGTTTATAATTTACAAGGTCAATAACTACTGCGTCAGAGCTGAAAAAAGTTTTTTGAAACTGAGGAACATAAACAATTTTTTGTGGACTATAATAATAATAATAATTCAAGAAAGACCTTCCTACCCGTGGACGGATCGGGATTTCAGACCGGCTCGGGAAAACTAATATTTATAGCGACCCACCCACGACTGTAGGTGGAGGATTACTATAGACATAAAACAATAATGAAGGCACTTAGGCACTAGGCATAATATTACGTTAGGCCAAATTTAACTGTATTTATCATATTTCTCAACAATTAAAATATATTTCCTCTTTACTTGAACTACTATTAAAATATTTAACAATTTAAAAAATGCGTTACTCCTAATACTTACTTTTTCTTAAACAAATTTAAATACTAGCCCTAAATGTAAAATAATCATTGTATTATATTAGAGTGTTGTTTAATATTAAGATATTTGTTGTCTTGCACTTGATAACAATTATTGCACAACATTCACAACAACAATAACAGTTATTTATTACTTAATTATTGAGTGTCTGTTATACTAATTTATTATAATATGATATCTATAGAAATAAACGGTCCCAAACTACTATAACTTTATGGCGGAGTACAGCTGAGCGGCTACAGCCTTATAACTCATAAGTATGGGGCTCATCGGGAATTTCCCTACTCCCTGGTTGTCCAATTAGTCCCCTTTCCCACCTCTCTATAATATCCATCATATGTATACGAAAAGTCAAAAAATGATTCTAAGAAAAGACGATCTGTCAGCCAATGATATAAGGTTTAGGGGCTAAGTATATTTTATAATATAATTGTGATTTAAGTAATTTATTTCACTATTAGGCATTAGTATTTCAGTGGGTCAATAATTTTTTCCGAAAAAAATTAATTTGAAAGCCATTGCGTGTACATAAAATACAATACAAAACTTTAAAAGATGTAATAAGTACCATCGTATAATCTCTAAATAAAATGATAATAGATACGCCATGAATTATAATGTTCACTGAATGTTTATATTAGCATTTTCTATACAGCATACAATTTAATTAATCTTTTTAACGTATGACTACACCTATGCGCTTATACATAGGTACACGATGACTAAAGTTCGGATTTTAATGCAAATTATTTTTTTCCCTAAGCTCAAAAACAAGGTTTTCTAAGCACAATATTCGTTTCCTGTAATCGAAGAAATTAAAAATACAACTTTTATTTTGCATTTAACTAATTTTTTATTTTTAGGGCATTTTTTCGTATTTTTAAGGAATTTTCTATATACTATTTATAAATGTGTAAATTTAGATCAAATTATCTCCCCAACCTGTACATTACGGTTAATGATGGATAAGAATAGTCCAGGGAACGGTTAATTATGAACTGCAAAGAATTGTACAAGTTATAGTTGAATCTTTTCGTTATCAAACAATAGTCAACTTGTTACTTATAAGACGACGAGAGTAATTTCGAAAATCACACGATTCATATGACTTGATTAACTGCGGTCTGCTATAAATATCAAGTTATGATTGTGTTTTGAGCTGTATACTATACATTTATACTGTACAAGTACAACATAATATGTACACACGTTTAGTATTGCGTAGATACCTATGTGAAATAATACAATTTTTCATTTTTTTTAGAACATATATATGAATAGTCGTATTTTTAGTCCACAAATTAATAATTATAAACTAGTAATTTATTAGGAAATTGTTTTTTAGAGCATTAAATCAGAACCATAAGTGAGTGTAATGATGGTATTCTATATATACATTCCATAGTGTATAGATATATCATACATTTATACCAATAAATAATAATAGTGTTTTCATAAGTCTAGTAAATTACTAGTGGTAATTAAAAAATAAGCAATGGTAGTTTTAAGCTATATCCAAAAAATATGTTCTCTATCTACCTACAATTAGTTGGTAAGCGTGTAGGTAATCTATATACGAAACTTCAGCCTTTAGATCACACCATTCCCACCATCTAGCAAACTATAGGTACTATAGTAAAAACTGAAAAAAAATTTTAACAGATAAACTAAAATTATATTTAATTTAAAAAGGAACTCACAATTATGAATTTAAATAGTTAGGTGAACTTCAAATCTTTGTTATTGTGCTTAGAATCTTAAAAGTACGATTTCGATATTGACATTTACAACGTAAAATCATATTTTGGGACTTAATATCTCTAAAAAACTAACGGAAGGTACTGCAATAATGGTTGCAATTGAACATGTTCATTGTTAATCTAATATTTTAGGAGTTTTTCAAGGGTTATATTGAATACCTACATTCATAAAAATCAAGTCATTCAGTCGTCAATTATCGTAAATAATTCAATTTTTGGAACTTGAAGCACTATGAATCATTAAAATAACTGCTTATATTATAAAATTCCCATAATATCGAATTTAATGCATCCATAAAAATAGGTAGGTTTAAAAAAATTAATTTTAAAGTTTTTAAATGTGCATTGTCTGTAATTCGACACCATATTAATTGTACACTTTACAGTTATGCTTTACCACATCCGATACTCAAACACGCAAGTCCCAAACCATGATAATAGGTGTATCGTATATTCGTACATCGTGTATATCCCGTGTGTATAAAAACTAAATGTATAAACGCGGGCCCCTGGCCCCTAGAGTAATAATAATATTGTTATTATCATTATTATTATTATTATTGTTTATGGCGGTAGGACCGAGGGGGGCCGAAGCGCCATCTTACGGTACAAATCTCAGCGTCCCGGTCGTCCGCGCTCGCGGCCCGTCGGTCGTCGTCGGCGTCGCTCGCCGCCGCCACCGCCACCGCATTATTATTCGTTACAAAACCCAACACACTCGTGTCGTCTCGTATAAACAAACAACTGCCGCCGCAGCCTGTCTCACTGGCCACTCGCAAAGTCGCAATTGTACGTCCGCGTTTAGCATAGACACGTACGCCATCCGTACTCAGTCGCACGTTACAGTTATTGTTTTTCAAACATCAACGAGTTCATCACCGGACCGCTTCCCGGTCATAGACGATCAACCGTAAATAATTGTGTTCGAGGTGCGTCTGACGAAGAGCGCCGCCAGAACTTGGACGACGATCACCACATCGTAACACAACCACCGTCGCCGTCACACAGTCACCATTACCGCCGCGATGTCCGAAGTGGCCGCCGAGAACAACGTACCCGTTCAGGTAACGTCAATCGCGTATGGAACGGTGAGCGAACGCGCGGGCGCGTGTTCCTTCCGCCAGTAATTTTTTGCCGCCAAACCGCTCGCGCGCGCGCGCCATTATTACCCGACTTTTTCGCGCGTCCCGATGGGACGCGCGAAAATGCCAACAACCCCCTGCCCCCCCGCTTGCGCACCCCTGCGGGTCTAGCCTTACGCCGCCGCCGCCGCCACCGTCCGATAAAAACCGTTTGCCTCACCCCTCCCACCCCCTTCACCATCACCGCCGACAGCCGTTCGTGATTTCGCCGCCATTATCGTCGGCGGGGTGCGAAAACCTGTCCTGTGGCTCGCGTGATTCTAGTCAGGCCGCCGGCAACACGATCGTCTGATGGCGTGCCCGACAATCGTTGTCTGCGAATATCATTTACCGTCCTCCGCGATCGCGCCACAGACGACGGCGGCGCGATCTTGTTTGCGCGCGAGCGCTTACGCACGCGCATGTCAGGTCGCCGCCGTTAGATCCGTTCACCTCGACTCTGCCGCCGCCGCCGCCGTCTTTTTCTCTGGGTAATAAAAAACGCGCGCGTCGGTTCCGACCGGCCGCCCATGGTGTTGGGCGACTGGCAAGAGGAGCAAGAAGTAACAATACGTTACCCGATTATTATTGTATGCGGTGTACCACTGTGCTTCCGCCGGCAGTACGGCTCGTTCGCGCCCATTTTTTTACACGGGTCCCGCCAAAAACGTGGTGTCGCACGTTACTACGTTAGCATTATCTACGTCGGTCGGGCATTTTTGGTTTCGTTTTGAATATGTCTGTCTCGACTAGGGTGTGTTATGAGTGTTATGACTATAAGGCACGCTCTCCGAGTTTTGAACTACCCCTCCGGAATTGTGTGCTCCAACATTATTTCGATAACCTTTCGAGTGCCTAATGCCTGTTGAATCTCAACACAATATTATGGTCGAGTGTTAATTAACATAACTTGAAGATATTATTCAATCAAACCACTATAGATTGTTTGTTTTTTTATAGGTTTATATTCAAATATAAAAGAAATGGTAACTTAAAATCTTAAAACTTAATCAATATACCAGTAGATACTTTTTTTAAATATTTAAGTGTTACGGAAAAAAATTATCATTTTATTTTAACGACGGAAATGTAATACGTTTTTAGTGAATGGTTTACTGTGTCTCTATATTTAACATGATTTATAAGTCATGTTCAGTAAGTTAATAGTTTGTATCTACTCATGCAATTTTAAAAATTTAACATCAACTATGTTCACTTAATCATAAGTAAAATGTGTGTAGTATTAAATTGGGTTGTGACAATTGGTATTGAACACATTTTATGCATTACTGAAATTATACTGAAATTGTGATGGTTATATTTTAATAGAACACAGTACCTGATACTTAATTTTGTAATAATTATACTAGGTACATTCCTCCTACCACATCGAGACAATTGTGAAAGCATAATTTGCTAACAGTACTTCATAATTAAAGTCTATTTATTTATTTATTTATAATAGTAAACGGGATAGGCCCTTGACATTTATATAAAATTAATAATTAACAATAATATAATACACTATAACATACATAATATTAACAATAATAATGTAGTACAAAATAATTACACACAATAAGATGATTAGATGTTATAGGATCCATCATTAGCTAGTGCCATCATACGCAAAATGGGTTCATTATATAAGTAATTTGTCGCACAGAACGGGACCCGGAAAGGAGAAAATTTGCGCAGATTAGCGCCGGGAACATTAAAATTAACCCTCCCTAACATATCTGGAGCGTCAACTTCCCCACTCAAAAGTTTCGATAAGAACACCAAATTAGCATCTATTATTAGGATAGAATATAATTGTTAATTTAAACATGTTATTTTTTTTCAATTTAGGAAGGTGAGAAGCGTGGTCGAAAAAGAAATACAGGAAGTCGTTCAAATGCAACTAGTGCAACTTATGCGGAAGCTGAACTGATAACCAAGGTTTAAAGAATGCATTATCTTAGCTAAATTTATTAAATTAAACTTTTTTATCAGTTGCATAATTTAAGAGTATAATTCATTATTACATTTGAATTCATTTTATTTAGGGATTGATCAATACTGATGATGTTGATGGAAGGAGAACGACCAGATCCTCTACACGAGGTTCAACTGCAGCTTCAAAGTTGAAAAGTGAACCTCCAGCTAAAAAAGAGAAAAAAGTACCAGCTGTTAAAGGTAATTGTTGATTAAAAACATGGCGTTAGCCATCAATTTTTATTTAATTAACAGATAGCATATAATTTTCAAAACATAATTTTCCTTAAGGCAAACGTGGAAGGCCAAAGGCAGTCTCAAAAGAAGAAAGTGAAGAAGTTGTATCAGCTGAAGAAAACGGTATTGCTGATAATGATGTTGACTCGAAAGCTGACAAGGGTGGAAGTTCCACAGAAGAAGAAGTGGATTCAAAAACTGAAGATAAAATTGAGAATGGAAATTCATCTGCTGAAGAAGAGAAGAAAGTTGAAGAGGTAAATTACTTTATATATGATTGACATATTTAACTAATTGATAAATATTTAATAAATCGTTAAACTTACTTACAGAAAAAGGAATCAACCGTTGAATCTGATAAGCCTGCAGTAACAGAGGAAAAAAAAGAGTCTTCAAGCCCGTAAAATACGAATCAAAATGCTAAAATACTTTAGTGTTTAAAATGTTTAGTGTTAAGCAAGATATTTAATACTTAAATTTATTCTGATAGTTATTATCATGATTTTGGTACAAGTTTATTTTAATTTAGTAACTACACATTTTTTTTATAACTAGCCTATCCTGATGATAGGCTTTGATTTAATTCTGGACAATTGAATGAATTTCTCATCCCATGTAATAAAAATAGTTCGCAAACACTTTTCACATAAAAAAATAAAAAATGCATACTGATGATTATGTTACCATTATGTGTATTGTCATTATTGGCAAACTTCCTATCAAAGTTATTTTGTATTGGATTTAATCTGTCCGATTAATATAAATAATTTGTAATTCACAATAATATTTACTTATATCTTTGTATGTAACAAAAAAAATTTATTTCAAATAAAATAGATAATTTTGTTTAATATAATGTTGACTTTAAACATATAAATATATATGATTATTTATTTCAAAGGAAATTCAAATTTATATTTTTATGTTTTTGTGAAAAGAAATGTAATTAAGTTGTGCGGATGAAAAAAATTCTAAATATTTTGCATGCGTTCAATAAAAAAATTAAAAATATCTATTTATATATTACAATATACTTAATACATAATAATAGTACTTTTAAGTCATTTGTAGAGAAGCAATCAAATTGGTCGTATGTTTTTCAGGTCAGTTCAAATTGTTCTGTAGACATTACATATTATGAAGATTCCTAATTAGGTATATATGAAATATATATTTTATAGGTATTAATATGATCAATTAAGTGGCATGATTTATTAAAAGAAAATTGTTAAATGCCGTCTACTATCATAAATAGAATAATTAATTTTTTAAAACTACTGTTCTCACTACGTTTACACTTCTATACATTTCTTTTTATAGCGTTAAAAACGATATATATATATACATATAATGTATTGTTTTACTACATATATTTATATTTATTTTAATATATATAATCTGCATATATAGGATGTAAATTACTATTGTGAATAAGATATTATTATTTTAATATAAATATACTATTAAGTACACTAATGTATTTTTACGGCACAACACAGCAATATTAAATTGAAAATATTGTATAAAAGTTGTCATTTTTTATTTTACCTATGCATATATTATATTATATAATTTTGATTTTATTTTTCAAATTGTTTTTTTCTAAACGAAAATAAGTGATTGCGTTCAATTAGTATTTGTAATTTTTTTGTGGTATGATTTTTTTTGTTTTTAATTTTTTTATAACCAGAGCCAAATATGTCTTCAGATGTTAATATATGCACGGGAACTTCTAGTAAAACTTTTTCTGTACTTTAGTCAATAATCTAATTGAAGTAAATAATTTTTATTTTATAGCAATTTTTTCAGCACTCATTTATGTTGGCTGTTTGGCTTTAGTTCCAATTACTTTTCTTGTTAAGGTTTGATTCTAGGAATTAAATGTAATATATATAATAATATATTCATATATAAATATATGATAAATACAATTTTAAGAATAAAACTAAAATTTTTAATTATACAGTTATGTCTTATGTATCATCATTCATTAAAAGTTCTGAAGTTGTTTTGAGTGGTCATGCATACATATTTTAATGTTAAATCCAGGGTCAATCAGACAAAGTTGCCTTAAAGACTTCAGAGGATATTTATTTGGGAACAAATGAGGTTTAGTACTTACTACCTCTACCTTAGCACATTTTGTTTTCAAAATGGGTATGTATGCGATCTAAATAGTTGGAGATGTTTGTAAAACTGTTAACCATTTAGATTGTGAGTGGAACGAATAATAATATTAAAACTTCTAGGTATTTCAGTGACAGTGAAAATTTTTAACTTACAAAAAATAACTATCTATAAATTGCAAGTATGATTTAGGTAAATACACCGGGATGGTTACAATTTGTTTCATCATCATTTAAAAAAATGTATAATTGTTTGGTTTAATTTCCTGTTTTCCTAAGTGGCTGTGTGTAAGACTGGGAATGTCACCCTGCTGTATAGGTGTCATCTTAGAACAGACTATCGATAACAGATCAAATATGTGGAATTTGACTATAAATTTCGAATAGGTAGTTCATTACTACTGTATTCTGAAAATTAATCCTCTACGTCTACACTGTAAATATTAAGTAATAATTATTCTAAACAAGTGAATATCTACATCTACTGTACTCCTAATTGTAAACCATAAACAATCTATTCTTTGCTTTGATTAACACTAATAGTATTTTGGAATTCATGATATGATATTTTGTACCTTTTTTTGTTATAATTTAAACATTTTTCATAGACTCACGCCTCGTCTCCTTATGGATTTTTCGTTCTGTTCAGATATTCCTGTACTTTATACCTATATAAATCGGATACATTCATTCATTCATAACTACTCAATTTGCCGAGAGAATGTAGCTACTTCGTTCATACGACTGGATCCGAGGAGTGGATTTGGGTGCTCTCGGCAGGTACGACGCACGTTATGGATTGCCATTTTAACCACTTTCTCTCGCAAACTGAGCATACATATTTATTAGTTATTAGTTTATTACGATCAATTAAATTGTAATAATTAGGTATTTTTGATAATATTCAACACTGCAGTTGCAGTAATGTACCTATTTTGCCTATTCAATACGCCAGTTAACATATCATATTTGCACGAATTTACACCTAATAAATTTATATAGCCTTTATCAGTATTTACTACGTTGTCAAGCCTTAAGCGTAGTCTATATAACCAAGTTGATAGGTAGATATTACATATTTTACAATAATATATTTTTAATTATAATATAATAATAAACCATACTTAAATTTAATTTAAATTGGTAGTTAAACAAGACTCGCTGTAAGATTCAAAATGACTCAAAACTAAAACCTAAGAAGTTATAGGAGTTACCACAAGTAGGGTAATTGTGTTTTAAAATGATAAGAACTTAATTAATTATAAGTCTATGTTGTATTGTAATTTGGAAGGAGTCAAAGACTGCTGTCTATTCGAATAGGTAACGAATAAAATGACTAAGTGCAATAAAAAATACAAATAAATGCAAGTGATACAGAATTACAAGCGGGTTGTAGGTACACTGAGTACAGGATTCAACAATTTCGAATTTATGACATCTATTATGATGAATTGGTGATATGATGTATGCACTATGCAGGATAAAATAATTTTCCGTAAAAACTGCAAAATCTACAAAAATTATAATAATATATTATCGTATCTAAAGGCCCAGGCACGTCGTCAGTGGCCTCGAACTGGCAACCTTGATTTTTATTTTTAAATATTATGTTGTATAATTGTCCCAAAACGACTAAATCCTATGTGTATATTATTTGGTACTCCATATAGTTAACGATCGTATAACAAAAATTAAATTCCGAGATTCTATTTTATAAATATTCGTCATTCGACAATTTGATAAAGGACAATAATACGTCTATTAATAGATTGAAAATTAGGAATACCAAATACGGGTAAAATTATTGGATTTAGATGAATTTACTGAAAGATTTGCTGCGAACCATAAAAATAGACAACTTGTCCCTAATCCTTATATAGTTGTTTAAGACGTATATAATTGTATACCTATATATTAATGTATAATACAAATATAATCAATATAGATTACAGACAATGCATTGTGAAATATAGTATTATTTTTTATAGATATTGTCTGATAAGGAGAGTTGTGGTATCGGGTACAAAAAACAGAAAGAAGACAAAAAATGTTGGCCCACTTCGCCCCCTTATAAAAAAATGTCTGGTTACGTCTTTCGTGCCTGTAAAGTCCTTTTACTCGAAGTGGGTGAAAAGCTTCATATCATAGCATAGAACCAGTGTTTGAAGTCGCTGAGGTTACCAATTAAAAATTCCAAGTATATATAATATAAAATGGTCACAATTCAAAAATGTCTATTTATTTAACATTTTTGTTATAATTTTTTCGTCTTTTTATTTTTCAGATACTTGAAACAGGTAAACCAAGCTGAAAAGACAAGTAGGATATATAATACGATTGTAAAAATAAGAAACCGTCGTCCTTCATGTATCATCCATGCATATTATCAATGTCCATCAAATTTCAATAAGTACAAAAGAAAATATTATCCGATGTTAAAGTGCTAAATAATTATCCAAAGCGTTTTAAGCCTTCATAAATAAATAAATAAAGTAATCTTACTGTTTTAAATTTTTATTTATTCTATTTATATTATTTTATTGTATTATCAAAGCATTATTGACAGATGCATATTTTTAATAAATTATTTTTTAATTTTTAATTTCCGAATTGTTTGGAATGTTCATTTAATAATTAGGTGAATTAAAAAAAAACAGTATATAATAAGTAAAGTACATTTTACATTTTAATACAAAATTAAAAATATATAAATGTTCAGTAACAAATCATACCATTTTCTGTTTCATTTAAAATGTACAACTGCCTAGTGCCTATACTCTTCAATTGCAGTAGGTGCATAATGGTTTTATTGGTTTATGATTTCTAGTACCAGTTAAAATTATTTAAAGGAATACAATATCTGTAATACACTAATACCTTAAGAGGACACCACACCCGCATGTGCTATCTCCGTCTTACAAATGTACAACATAGCAAAAACTATTTAACGCGGGACAACTTTTTTCGCACCATATTTGTTGTAGAATTATCAAATTTTCACAACACGTAAAGAAGGACTTCATCTGTGCAACAGAGTGCTTTTTTTTTAATTACACTTTCCAATAATTTTTTATAAGCAAATGAAAAAATCAAAAAAACAAAATGTTTAGAAGCAAATAACTTTTATTGTATTTATGTTATCTAAAATATAGGCACGCTGTTGCATAGACAATTTTCTACTCGATATGTTCAGAAATTTTGGAGCCACTACTACAGAGGTTGATACCGAGTTGCGGTTGAGATTATAATAGGTAAAAAAAAAAAATCCGAGTTGCGGTCGGGATCAAAACAGGTAAAATATCAAAATAGGTAAAAATCCTAGTTACGGTAAAAAAATATGATTAATAATTATTATGTTTTAAAATATTTATATATTTACATTTGTGATATTAAACCGGTTCATATTTGTATGATACACATTTCACAAATGTCAGCTAGTCAATTTGTTTTTTCAAATACTGTTGTATTTTATTTTTAGTAAATTTCTGATTTATGCTCTCGCTTTTTTATTAGTTTCCAAATCTAGTGAATTGATTTTTGAATATGTATCAATGAATATTTTTGACACATTTCAAAAATTCAAATATGTTGGGATGTGACGATCGGTTCTCAGTTTTGAATTTAGAATTGAACGCTTCACTTCCACTATTCGTTCTCCAAACATCATTGTTCAAAGCTGCCCAGAGTGTGGTTGAAAAAGTAGCATCATTCCCAATATAATTATCGACTAAATACTAAATAGTCACTAAATTCAGTAACTCTTGAATCTATATGTTGTTCGGCGATTAAATCTAAAAACACTTTTCCCACTTCATCTGGAGGGAGAAAAGTCAATCCAAAAACGTATTGTAACCATTAATCGTTAACCGGATACTGACCGCAATTAAGACGTTAATTTTACCTTCAATATTTTTAAGACCGCAATTATTCGACTATGGCGACCGCAACTCGGACAATACCACTACAAACACAGAACGATAAAAGTTGTCCCGCGCAAAACAGTTTTTGCTTGTTCCTTTGTAAGACGGAGACAACACATGCGGGTGTGGCGTCCTCTTAAACGCATAGGTTATAAGTATATTAAATATTGTTGAACATTTTACTAACTGTGCGTGTTGTTTCAATAATGGTATTCGTCGGTGAAAATGTTCCCAATCTGCGAATGAAATATCACATTAAGCAGTATGAAAAGTGTATACGTTGCAGTGTTTCAGAGACTATATAATAACATTAGTCCCAGAGCTGATTTTAATGCAGACATAATATCGAGGATATTAAAATAAATATTTAATGTCACGAACAATGCGCTACTCAAGTGTCGTGGACGCATATTTTGTTTCCGAGGGCGCAATGCATAAAATACGCGAGATCTAATAACACAAACATATTCGTTTCTTCTCGACAGTGGTCGTAGAAAAATAATAATTAGTACTTACCTAGGCACTTGAATTAGACACATATTTTTATTTCAATATAGAACTACACGTCGTAAGTCATAAGACACAATTCTAATTTAGAACGGGTAATTTATTTATTTTAAATGTTCACCTAGTGGTTATCTGCCTCCACTGACTTGCAGTGACAGGAGTGGTACACATAACACACTCCATGTGCACGCTTGTAAGTAATATACTATTATATATTTATATGTACTTGTAGACCTATGCAAATATTAAATAGTGTTCTACAATCTACATACACACGGGGGTTCTAACGTCCCTCACAATCCAAAAGTTATTATAATTTTTATTTATGTTTTACATACAGTACTCCCTCGTTAACACGAACACGACGGGACCACAAAATAACCGGTTCGTGTTAAAAAAATGTGTGTAAACCGATAGGTTATTTTACACTCAAATAATTTTTCGACTTTTTTTAAAATGAGTCGTTTAGTTTTTAGATCTATAGACATTTGCTTCCTTTTCAAAATCATTTTGGTCAATACTCCAGCTATGTATACAAAACAAATCATCAACAAAGTCAACTGACCAACTGATGGATAGAGCAATTATTAGTTTAAACGAGAGCAATTATAGCCGAACTAGATTGCACACATACAAATGTACTACACATGTATACACGTGTACCTACAATAGAGAATATGTACATAAATAGTAGGGATAAGATAAGATATTGATAAAACTGTGTTATAAAGATTAAATGACAAACGACTATACGAGTAATAAAACGAAAATAGATACATATGTACATATTGACATTTTTCTGTTCGTGTTAATCAACAAAATATGGTACCTAAAATTTGTTCGAGTTTCGTGTTAACCAAAATAATTCGTATAAACCGAGGAAATAAAAAAAACCCTATCTTATAGGTTACATGGCTTTAGTTATGGAGGTTTGAATGTGATTGGTTGTCACTTGTAGTCAGTAGATTGTAGATATCATGAGTTTAAGGTTGGTTTTTCAATGGTTTTAATTCTTTGTCGATACATGGTACCTAGAAATAATTACGCGGTTATACAAAATAAAATCCATATAATATGACGTGTAGGTAGTAGGTAAGTAGGTTGTAGCCAATAACGCATACAATGTACAATAAATGTACGACATACAAAAAACAATATCAAGATTTGTAACTTGTACACTGTACGAGGTAATGATAAGTGAACATATTATTATTTACAAAAACTACTTGAATAATTTATATGATTTAAATTAATCAATAATGTAAATACAAATTTTAATAAGAGAAAAACGTGTAAAAATAAATATAAAAACCTCAATTATTGGTTTTGAACATTTTAAGTGGTATCCTTCTACAACTAGAACCATGGTCTGTGGTCGTCCTAATAATTCGTTAACATAATTTATAACACGGTATTAAATTATTAGGTACTATGATAAGAACACACAAGATTCAACATGGTTTTGATTTAAGATGATAGCAATATAGTACAATAACAATGTTTTTCAGAAATAGTTTGGAGTGCAATAATGCATGTCTTCCCGTGTGCGTCGCCGCAGTCTATGGTACAATACTACAATACACATGGTACTGTGGTAGTAACTAGTGTGGTGTAGCTATCAACTGGATGTTTGAACTATTGGCTAGTGCGGAGTGAAGCTTGTTAGTTGTTGTTAATGTTTGCATACAGGTTGTATAATAGTTTGTAATGTCTGCATAGCGTGTGCGTGAAGTGCAGTTTTTGTAAAGGATTTTTAATATTGATGCTAAAGAAAACAAATATTTGTTGATAATCTACATTGTGCTTAAGCCAATTGTAATTGTTTTATTAAATTAATTAGTGTTTGAAACTTATTTTATATTGTGAAAGATATATTTAAATAAATGTTGCAAATTGAGAATTATGAATTTCATATTGGGAGGTCCAAAGAATACCTACAGTATTGTTTAATGATGTAAAAGGTACATTTAAATTATATTATTAAGTTAGAATATATTTGAACTATTTCATATTGAGGTTTCTCAAATGCTTACATGTACTAACCTATAATTATGATAATATTTTATTCATTGATTTTAGAGTTTACCATTTGCGGCCGCTTGTGTGATTAATTTTGTCCTGCTAATACTGTATGGACAGTTGACATATAATGGTAATTATAATTAGTTATGCATATAAATTTAATCATCTGTTGCTTATAAACTTATAAAGTAAAGTTAAAATTTACATAGTGGTGTATCTACTGTAAACTAAAAAAAAATCATTATGTTTTTAAAAACTTGAACCTTAAAAATTATTATTCAATCTGGTTTTTCATATTTATATGCCAATGGTTTTTAGTTTTTTAGGGGCAAGTAATTAGTGCAAAATGCTCTGTATTATTTATAATTATTTTCAAATATTTTACACATTTAAAGTAACTACAATAAATACAAAAATGTTGCGTTATAAATTTATATGAGAAGAGCACAAAAAGTTTTTATTTACTTGTGGTATCGACGAAGCTGCCGGAACTCCTTGTGAATTCTGCAAGGGCTTAACAGAATTCTGGATGTGCTATACCCCTTTCCCTCCATTCTACACCTATGAATATATACAATATTTGTATGTTTGATTTTTGGGACAACTGTTGCGCATTTTATTTAAGTATTGTCTTACGGTGTAACAAAAAAAAATACTATTTAAACCTTGTGTTTATTTATAGACTAGATAAAGAACTAAAATTAAATTAAAAGTAAATTAACTTTACTGTATACCATAATAACATTGGATATTTTTATATCTTGTGTATCCACAGAAACATGGAATACTGTCGCTCAGTACCATGATTAAGATTTAATCATGCTCGGTACTTTCTACATATATTCAAATTGGTTTGCGAAACATATTCCATAAACCAAATTCAAAAATATGTAAAAAGTATTGAGTTATACAATATTCTTTGTTTACGTGGACTCACTGAACATAAAAAATGTATATAAAAATATGTAATATTATTCAAGTATAGTATTTTTTGAATTAAAAAAATCAAATTCATATTATTGCTTATGAATATTATATTGACTGCAGAAGCATGATGAGTATTTTTAATGATATTCTAATAAGGATTACATTTTTTTTTTTTTGTCATACTTAGATAAATATAATATACTATATATTAATAATATAATATACTATATAATATATATTAATAATATTATAGTATTATTTAGATAAATATAATATTATTTTGTAAATAACTAATAAAAATGTTGGTGAATAATTGAAAATGCATCTACATTATGTCTCTGTCTCAAAGTATTGTGGCTTTGCATTAAGCAGTAGACTTAGACTTAGCCTCATTTTTATTTAAAAATTATAGTTTTGTCAATAAACTTTTTGTAGTTTCACAATGTTGCATTTTAGTTTACTTTACATACATTGTTTTTGTACATTAACTGGCAAAAACTCGGGCTGTATTGAAACTTCTGTTTTAAAAATGTTTATACAGTGAAACCTCTGAATAGCGGACACTCTCGGTCGCCGAAATTTTGTTCGCTATTTAGAGGAAAACATTTTTTTCAATAAACAAATAAATAAATTCAATAATTTTATTTTATATTATTTTTACATTAATTAAATACACAATAAAAATAAAAACTAACATTTCTGAAAAAAATCTGTTACTTTAGTTTGTTTACTAATTGCAGGCGTAATTATTTTGTGTGTTAAGGCATTTTTTAGTTGGATTGTGTTTGAGTACAATGAACTATTCTGTATCTCAATAGAAGATACATATTTACGTATACCTTTTACTGCTAGCAATGCCAAAATGTTCTCGTATATTGGCATCATAAACACAACTAAACGCACATAGGACAATGCATTAGTTACAATATTTTGTTGACGCGATAAAGTGACTGAACGGAAAAGATAAGATTTTCATATACAGTTTAATAATGTACACATAAGATAACTTAATAATAGAGGTTTTTATTCAAGTATTCCAAAATAATTCTTAATTTAAGATAAAAATTATTAAATATCAGTGTTATAAAAGTGTCCCTTATTTAGAGTGTCCTGTATTAAGAGGTTTTCCTATACATAAATTGTGAAAATGTCCCCGTCCCCGAAAAAACGTCCGCTATTTAGAGGTGTCCATTAAGGGAGGTTTCACTGTATATTAATTATTTTTTTAGCTCAAAGATGTTTGAAACAAGTTTTATTTTATATGAAATATTTATTTGATTTTAGGTTGAAAACGGAGATATGGAATCCATGGAAGACTATGAATTGGAGCCCAACAACATTCATCTTTTTTTAAATGATGAAGTTATCAATCAATACATGGATCTTATCACAAAACGTTCACCCATCACAGTGTACGCATTTAATACATTTTTTTACCTAGCTCTTTCTGACAATGGGTATTCTCATGTTTGTCGGTGGACAAAAAAAATTGATTTATTCTCAAAAAAAAAATTGTTTATCCCTATTCATATCGAAGATCACTGGTGTTTAGTTTATGTTTGCTTTATACAAAAATCCATTAAATATTATGATAGCATGGGTGGACGTAACTTTTAGTGCTTAAAATTAATATTGAAATATTTGATGATGGAGCATGCTGACAAAAAAGGAGAAGATTTTCATCCAAGTGGTTGGTTATTAATGAATGTGAAGAACTGCCCTCAACAAAAAAATTATTGGGATTGTGGAGTATTTGTTTGCATGTTTGCCGAATATTTATCAAGAGATGCTCCGTTAAATTTTTCACAAAAGCACATGGCTAAATTCAGAAGACAAATAACATTAGAAATCAAGAAGAAAAAATTAAAAAAATCTGTACCAGAAACTTAAGCTACTGTAACAATAATTAAATGATGCATAAGCTCTATACGTTTTATAGGTGTAACTGTTGTCGGAACACTTGTGCATAATTTAGTTTTAATAAACAAAAAGTAATTATATTGAATAAGTATATTGTAAATAATTGCATTAATGTATATGATAACTTTCCTTTTTTTTGAATAATTCAATTTACTTAAACTGGATCTTTTAAATAAAAACTTTCAAATTAGATCTATTGATTCCATAATAAGTAAATAACTAATACATTATATTTTTAAGTTTAATATTGATTGTGTTAGTTGTATTGTTAAATCATCCAACAATTTATTGGTATGTGTTGAAATAATCAGTTATATTTGATTAAATATTATCTGTAATGAATAGTAATGTTTTTTTTATTATGTAACCACATTCAGTTTTTTGGAAAATCTGTTGTATAGCCTATGGAGTGAATGAAAGTTATTAGAACACGAAAAAGTACAGATAATACTTTATACATGTATTTATATTTTGAATAATAATTTATCTACTCAACATACACTTAACATTATTTATATCTATTATCTATAGTGATTCGTTTTTGAGTCACCAAAAGAGCAAAATCAATTATTTAAAAAAAAATACATACTGGATTTTCAATTTTGTACTTCTCAAATGTCCCAGCTACTGATACATATAGAGTAAATATCACATATTACTAAATGTAGTCTACATGTAGTAGTTTGTAGCATAGATCATACAAAAGAGATATTGTTACATTTTTTAATACAAAACCTTGTTCAAAGATCGAAGCATTTTTTTTTACTAAAGGTAGGTTTAGACACAAAAACAAAATACACGTCATTGTGAAATAACCAGAATCTATAATTCTATGTAAAAAACTATTTAATACAAATTTAAAAAAATGTACTTACCTAGGTCCCTACCTTGTAAAACGTATTTTAATCATTATTCGTATGTCAATACGACATTTAGTTTGCTTCACATCAAAGCATAATTTATACCTATATCATCAAATACTGAATGTCTGAATTTAATTTATGAAACATTTTGTACTAAATTATAACTATTTATTTAAAAATAAGTACATTTCAGTAAAAATGTTATGTGTTGAGCAAGTTTCATTGTTTCAAATGCTAAAAATTTAAATTTCACGGTACATGATATAGATCCCTTCTAGAGGGAATACTACCTGCTCTATTATTTTTCATTATTTTGGATTTTTTGTTTTAAAATAATAAATTGCTTATTCTATGATTTCTCGTTTGAAAAATCCAGACACACAATATGCATTCGGGGCTTAACCTAATCTATTCAAAATTCTATATTATCTACGATTTGACCACAGATTATATGAAAATATAGTATATGTATATACTGTATATTAATATATATTTTCATTTAGTTTGTGGTTTGAGTGTTCACATTGTCACTTAACCAAATGCACTATGGAGTTTGGAGGTACCTACCAACTCAGTCTGCTTAAATATTGTGTATTGAATATTTTGTTTTGTTTAAAAATAACACTTAACATTTAACATATCTAATACCAAGACCCAGACGACCATGAACATTTTATGAAAATCCATTCCGCCAAAAGTTGACTGAAAATGATTGGTAACACTGATGCGCTCGTGCGTCGACAATAAATTGGTTGGACGGGCGGACAGATTGTTCGATGGAAGAGAAGAGCGGAATCCCACCCAAAAACGTCAAAAACCAAACTCGCCGTGCCCCCTTCCACATCCCTTTCATTTTCGTTTTGTGTTTGTAAACAACAATATTAATCACTGTTTTCGTTTTTGCGCTATAATATTTTTCACGTTCGTACGGTTTTTGATTTGAACGTGTCCAGCGATGTCGCTCGAATTCGAGGTTTTCCCGCCGGTGACGTCCGGCTGCCAACGTCGCCATCACCGCAACGCGTTTGCCGCCGTTTCCGTGTGAGCAGCCGATCACCACCGGACAACGAGCTTCAAGTCCAGTCGAACCGACCAAATTAAAAACGTAAGATTTTCATTCCTGGTTGTTCTATCAATTTTAAAACCCACTGGCCCATCGATGAGATATTACTCGATCAAAGAACCAATTTGTGAGTGTCACTAATCATGTCGATTATACGACTTTAATATATGCTCAGACTTTTATCTGTGAGCTCGTAAGATGACAATTATCTGTCTCCAAGCTCATCATAAATTAAGAGTTGACTGTTGCTTTATGTTCCTATAGTTGTGTCGTAATTTGTTTACTTACTGAAATACGATTCTTATACCTATTGGTACCTAATCAACAAAACACTTTTAATGTATAATGAACCTATTGATCAACTCGATAATGTATTATTGAAGTCTCGATGCTCATAATTTTGTCGAGCCAATTAAATTTATTCTAAATACATATAGTATTTAAACTCATGTAAGAATTTGGACTAGTTGACTTGGCATGGTTGCAATAACTTATAGAAACTTTAGTCATTTGTTTAAATAGTTACCAAAACAAGTCTTCTAAAGAAAGACTTTCATGTTAATTGATTATTTTTCCATATTTTCTCACCTTTTAGAGAAGCTTTCCTTTTAAATAAGATCATATTTAAATATATTTTTTTATCTAAAATTTTGGATTTTAATCCTAAATTTAAAAATATTTGATTATTAGCTAACTATCAAATAGAAATTTTAGATAAATAAAAGTATAAGTTTTAGTTAAGTATGAAGACAAATTATTATTAGGTTAATACCTATACACTTGACGCATGTATTTAGTTTATTGGAAAGTATAGATATAATTAATATATATAAATATTAATTAATTTTGTTTTACTTTCAGATTGGGTTTATTGGACATGTATTTAGGAGCAATCATTGTATTATTAGAATAATAATTACCAATTTGACAAGTGTTGCTTAACTTGCATCATTTTAAAATGAATAAAAAGTATACACATTTTTTTCTTTGTCAATAACTGGTGTACTAATTGACATGGGTGATAGATTATTTATGGCAATGAGCCGCCGCCGTATATCATGCCCATTGGCTGTTCAACAGCTGTGGGATGCGGTGAAAGTGATACGTTTTCAAAGGCAGGTACCAGATATCGATCGCATCACAAAATATATGACCAAAGTCCACAATATGTCACCAGGTAAAATATTTAAGTTTTATTAAAAAATACATTTTTCAAAACTAATTATTTTGTGTTCAACAGAGGAAGTAGGAAGACAATTAAATTATTGTGTGCGCGATGGTCTTTTGATTTTAACCAAAAGAGTTGGTAACAAAGGTTCAAAAGCAGGAGTTGAAACCTAGGGATATAAACTTCCAGAAGAAAAAGTTAGTGAATACTTAAATATATTAACATAATTTACTAATTTGTAATTTTTTTTACAGGCTGAAAAAGATAGTCACGATTGGTACTGTTTTCAATGTCACAGTGCTGGCGATGTGATAAGTTGTACATCTTGTTATCGAGTTTTCCATCTTTCATGTATTGAAAAAAAGGACTTGCCCGAAAATGATGTTAAGCATAAGTTCATTTGTAATATATGCAAAGTAAATATTACTATTAGTCTTATAACTAATTATAATTTTTAATGTTATTAAATAACCATTTTCTTTTAGAATTGTGCTTCTACTAAAGAAGCTTGTAAAAAGATTAAAAAGAGCCAGCTTAACAGGCTTCTTTATCATACTACTGGTAGATTAAAAGAAAAATTAATTATCCTCAATACATTTTATACTGATTATATTTGTCATTTGATATAAGTAATGAATGTATTTGTATTTTTCTATTAATTAGATACCTTTACCATGGTCAGAACGCAAAATTGCTACTACTGCTCCATCGACATATGTTTCAGACAGACTTCAATTTCAGAGTCAACTAAAAGGTAGTGATTTGCATTTTAACATGAAATGTGCATTAAATGACAAAGATCCTTGGAGGATAGATCTTCTTATTTTCAAGTAAGTTGATTTGGTATTGTTTGGTTAAAATATATATTTGTAATGAGTTGTCTTTGAACTATAGAATTATTGACCTTCAAATGATTGAAGATAAAGCTGATGATGATGAGTATAAAAATGTCGAAGAGTTCCGAGCAGATATATTAACCTTTGTTCACAATATTATTATTTTTCACGGCGGTAAATTATAACAACATAACTATTCTTTCTTTCATAAACCTAAACAAATTAAACGCATATAAACATACAACAATTAATTGAAACTTTGACTATTTGTAATAGTTTTTTTTATATGATCAAATGTATATTTATATTATAGTTCATAGCAGTTTAGCTGATTATGGACGTTTAATGTTGAGAGATTGTAATCGAGATTTAGACGAGATAATGAGATGCCGCTATTGTTACAAATATTCAATACAAAAAAATTCAAAATTTTGGTTCTGTAAACCATGTAAGCCCCCGCATGAATTAGTGTATGCAAAACAAGAAGATTTTCCATATTGGCCAGCTAAAGTATTTACAATTAAATTAAGACTTCATTTTTTATAATAATTTTATTCTAAAACAATATTTTAGGTTTTGAAAATTGAAGGTGATATGTATGAAGTAAGATTTTTTGGCAGTGAACACCAACTTGGAATTATTGACAAAACTCAAATACGACCAATATCAGTGAATATTCATACTTTGCAGGTTAATATCTAAATATTTTAATAATTTAATATAATTTTAAAATGTGTTACCTATATTGTTTATACTAATATATAAACAAATAAAATGTATTTATGTTTAAAGATTAATGTAAGGCTGGACACTTTTACTGTATTAAATCAACACTTATTTTGTTAGTCTCAAGGTCGAACTTCTCAATGGAACAAAGCATGTGAAGAATTGCGTCGCCATCAACTTCAACTAGACAAAGTTATATTTGGGCTTGCTACACAATCATCATCCTCTTCCTCTAGTTCATCTTCAGAAGATGAAGAAGAACCACCTAAAGTGGAAGTTTCACCCATTCTAAAACGTAACGATAGAAGAAAGGTTAAAGAACGGAAAATATCGATAAAAACTGAGCCAAAAGTTGATACAGATACTGAGGAATCAGAATCAAAGGATGAAGTAACCCCTGTTAAAAGAAAACGAGGAAGACCTTTATCACTAGAAAAAAAAATAAGTCCGCCAAAAAAAGTTGTAAAAAAATCTGTATTAGTGAAAAAAAACAGCCCCGAGAACATAGTTGAAAAAAGACCTAGAGGTAGACCTAGAAAAGTTATTGAACCTGTAAATGATGATAATACTCCAGTTAAACATTTAAAAACAAAAGTCAAAAGTGCAAAAGAAAATACTAATGCATCTGAAGGAATTAAAACATCAAAAAGTACATCACCGTTGAAAACAAAATCTCCAGTTAAAGAAAATGAAGTAGATGAAAATATAACGTCTACAACTGAAAGATTAAAAGACCCTGATGTTGTTGAAGATGAAACAGTTAGTTCTTCATGTCAAGATTTAGTTCGATCAGTTAAAGTGCAAACAAAACCAATTAGCAAAAAACCGCCTAAAAGCTATATAAACAAGGTTAGTTTTGTAATTAAATATATTTTATATTATGTTATGTTTTAGAACAAAATATTTTGTTTTAGATTCGAGCTGAAATGGAAAGTGAAAAACGTAAAGCTATTGAACAACTCATCGAACAACATAAAGAAGAGATTGCCTTATTGCAAGAAAACCATAATATTGCACTGTCCGAAGTGAAGAAAAAGCAATGGGTAATTTTATTTTTATTTTAAAGTCGAGAGAGATATTTTTTAATTCATATAACTTATTTTATAATTATTAATTAATTGCCTATAGATAAAGTAAAAATGAAAATATTTTTTCCATTTATTATCCATGGTTTTTTTAAAAGTTTATTTAGTACATATTATTATACATTACAAAAAGTTGACAGTCTGTGTATTTAACATTTTAAGACTTATTACATTTTGATATAACATCATGAAGACTATCATTATAATTTATTCAATAAATTTCAATTTTCATTCCATATTTTTGTACGTACATTTTTTAATTGATGAAAATATAACATCGCTACATAGATTTTGTAACTGTCAAATAAGAAAATAAAAAAATATTGGATATGGCAATCACATAAAACTCAATGTCGGTTTTCCACATTCAAATATTTCTTTTGGATAGACCACTGCTTTTAATAAATAATGAAATTTCTTTTTTTTAATATCCTGATAAACCAAGTATGCAATAATACCCTCGATATTAGGATTACTAATTTATAATTGTAAAACTTTTATTTTTAGTGTGTGAATTGTGAAAGTGAAGCTATTTACCATTGTTGTTGGAATACAGCATATTGTAGTCCTAAATGTCAACTAATTCACTGGAGTAGTGAACATAAAAGGCATTGTCGTCGAAAAAGATGATCTTAAGCTATTTATGGGAGTATTTTAACTAAAGAAATATTGTTTTCTTTTAGTTGAAAATCTGCCATGTATGTACACACATACTTACAATATATTTGTATTTAAACCTTTCAAAATGTATTACTAGTTTATACTAACTAACTCAAATTTCTCTTAATTGAGTAAATTTATTTTATGTTTAGTTTCTTATATTAAATTTAACGAGAACAATATTAGTTTAAAGTAACTAAATTATTCAGAAACATACAAGTATTATTAATCTTACAATTTTTATGTTAATCATGTATTTTTGCTGATTGACTTTGTACCATTATCATGTATTTGATTGATTCATCTATAGTGTGTTAAGGAAAGAGTTCTAATATTAATCAAATATTTAAAATATAATGAAAATGTATTTGAACATCCAAGCAGCTACGTCTTAAAATATTTGGTTAATATTTGGTCAATTTTGTTTTGTTTTTTTTAAAACCCGACGCCTACAATTGTATGTTATAATTTTACCTATTTTTTTTTAAGCCAATCTGCATTAAATGATTTTTGTACAAACTAAAATATAGTAGTTGCTTATTGGACTTGCGATTACTTGACTCATCTGCCTATTGAACTCAAATTAGGCTGGCTCGTGTACTAACTATTCCGTGTGCTAATCGTAAGTGCACAACTGCATGAGGTCAAATTTCTCCCATTTAGAGGGGCTACAAACCATGAAGGTCTTGTAGATTACAACATATTTTGTTTGTCACTGACTTGCACTCTCTTGGTTCTGCAGAGTATACTAAAACAAAGACAAATGGGAGTATTTTACTCACTATATAACGGTTAATAGGTTAATTAAATTAAACTACATCATTGAATAAATTATTTTTATTGATTTGTCTATGATTGTTAATTACATGTACGATTGTATACAGTTTAATGAATATGATGAAATACTCAATAAATAAATAACAATGAATATTTATAAGCACATTTCTCTATTTTAATTTTAAATCTTATTATTATATATCTATACTTATTACATACATTATACATACAAATTTATCCTAGACCTTGCACATTATTGACTCATTTGGTTAATGGACTCATGTTTTGGTCTCAAAGTGGGTCCAATAATCAGCACTTATTGTATCTATTTTAATGTATTTAAAAATATTGATCAAAATGTATTATATTTTGGATGCAGTATAGTGAAAGTTAATTTGTTATATCATCTTCATTATGTTTGTTTGAAAATAATTTTAAAAATTTTAGTAAAGTCAAGAATGTAATGGTTTTTTTTTTATATTGTTTTGTTGTTTTTGTACATTTTTTTTTTAAAGTTTATGAGTAATTAATATTCTTATTTGTTAAAAATAGACTTTTTTATACATATTATTTTGTTTTGTTTTATTATTATTATTTATAGTTAGGAGTTAGGTTTAAATTATTCTAAAGATGGTGCTTTAAAGTTAGTTATTTAATAAGTGTACAATTAAAGGAGTAATTCCATTTTAGCAAGTATAAATCACTAAATGTAATACACAACGTATTTAGATTATTTAAAGAGCTTTGAAAACTAAATAAATAACTTAAACTAAGGTTGTATGCAATATTTACAAACTAATATAAATATATAGCAGTTCACTTAGCTTGCTTTTATAAAATTAAATAATTAAAACTTAACTTTTCAAAAAATTGTGAATAATCAGAAATATATAATTGTAATTAAATTATATTTTTTACATATTTAGCTATTACTAACAGCTTTCTCCTTTTTTATCACAATATTATTTTAATTTTTACTAGTTTATTACTATAATATATACTTATATAAGTTGTATTTCTAAGCATTTATAAAATTTATATAAGCAATATTTTAACATATTAGACTGTAATACTGTATATGTTTCAACTTTCAACCCATTGCCACTAAATAAATGGGAAGAAATAATTAGATATATTTATTATGTATGTAGATAGGTTTTATGCTTAATCTTGAACTTAAGAATATTTATACTATAGTATAACATATATATATTTTTTTACAATTCAATAATTATACCAAGATAGATATATTTGATCTCAATACATTTTTTTATTTTATTTTTTGTTTGTATGTTATTTATAATTAATCCATCCTTTAGTGTGTTAATTTAATCAAGCCTTTTAACTTGTATAGTGTTTAATGGTATGAATCATTTAATCATATACCATGATATTTCAATGGAACAGTATTTATCATTATGTTATTGTTATTTAAATCATAAACTATTGTTGGTGATTGTATTTATTGCATTATAGATCCCAATAATATTGTAAATTAGTTTCATTAGATCTTATAATATTATAAGTATTTTGAATTCAACTAATTGGTGAATGTTGTAGATTTAAAATCGATGTAATCAAATAAGTTAATTGCGAATACTTGAAACTTATTATACTTAACATTAAGCATGTATATTTAATATGAATGTTTTAGCTTATATACATAGAACATACACTTATATATATATTTTGTATATATACAATTTTATTGTTTATTAAAATATTTATAAAATTGAATAAATCTCTGTTTTTTAGTGTTCTTATTTATTTATAATTATGAATAACATTGTAAGCTATAAGATTTAGGTTGATTGCTGGTGCATTTTCTTTACTGAAAAATTAAAAGGAAACATCCTGCTAGTTGCTTTTATTTGTTTAAATTTTTTTTGGAAAATTCAAAAATTTATCTGTATAAAGTATTGCATATTTTTGTTAACAATCTAGATTATAGAATGCTTTAAGAGACTATTCTAAAATAAATGAAAAAGAACTAAATAGATCCAAAGGGTTTAAACTCTAAATATGTTTAACTCCTTTATTCCTTATCAACAAAGATTAAAAAGAACTAACTTTATAAATTAATTGTTTTTGTGTTGACATTATTGTTGTAAGTATAACCAATGGGATTGCATACCTCAATTTTTTATAATTTGAATTTTTCATTTTATCCAAAATAATACACCTCCCTTACAAGTTACAGTATTATATGTAATGGTTATCAATTTATAAAAGTGTTTTTTACAAAAAAAAAATGTTTTTTTAGTTTTATACATGAATTAAGATATACTTAATATATTTCTTAATTCATGGTTTTATATTCAGAGGAACAATAATTTTTAACTATATAAATTTATATTTTATTTTTTTTTTGTCTTTCGAGCAACTTAAAGGCCATCACCACCAGAATGTTGATTGGGCAGTCACGACCCGTATCCAATTTGGCGTTTCTTCAAAACAACATTTTCATTTCAGAACACCAGAATTTTTTTCTTGAACAGAGATTAAAAGCCCAATTATTATTTACCTTGGGGGCACTAAAAAAATTGGATTCTTGGACAGGCTCTCTTTCAGATTCCATTTCAGATCTGCACTGCGGTCTAGTGGAACCCAGGTAGACGGTATACCTATATTTATTAAAGGTGGAATGAATTAATAGCGAATTATACGAGTAGTAGGTAGTAATAATATTACTAGCGACGTAGTGTAAACCCGACTAAGTGTACTTTGCTTGTATCTTTTCTTTTTTTGTTTAAATTAGGATTGATTTAAATGTAGACTGCTTGATATGTTTGAAATCAAACATGTAGATTGTAGGTACCGCGGACAAGTATGTCAATTATTTCATTAATCAATTATTCAGTTCATACAGTACCTAGGCAATATGGTCACGACTTAAGATAGAACTATCTTTAGTAAACTAATATAAGTAATCGTTATCTACAGCCGCCGTCATGACAGGAATAAGAATAACCAGATGTGCTCACTCAGCTCCTAATGCAAATAATTTCCCGATTTTAGTGTTGCTCGGCTGACGTCACTTTCCACAGCAGGAGACAGTGTTATTTCCATGCTGTGAAAAACATACTGTAAAGCCATTATTGATGTGATCATGCCTTATCGGCAAAAATAAGATTTTTGAGGGCTGGTGTCACCATGCAAAATATATATTATTAAATAAGAATTAAAATATAGGTACCTACTTGTAAAGATGTAAGGTTAATAAAAAAAAAAAAAACAAAATATGATCGAATAAAAACAATTGAGACACTCATATATTTATGTATTTTATTGGGATAGAGGAGTAATTTATTAATTAATAATCATAACAAATAGGTATCTAATACCACGATAATACCGAAATCTTATTGAATAAAACAGTACGTAAACAGTTAGCCATTATAGTTTATAGCTCTGGTGGAAAAATGGCATTAATGATGTTTTCATACGGATTATAAAATAATTTATGCATAACACATGGTTTGTCATATCCCTCAACATCTCTCTTGTATTAGGTACCACAAGCCCCAAGTACCGTCAGGTACCCCTCGGTTATTTTTATTTAACGTAGTAATTCGAGTGTACCGCGAATTCGTGTTCCGACTGTTCATTACATTTATTTCTGACTTCTGATTTTTTTTTTTTATTGCAAATTCTACTGGCAAATATAAATGTGCCCACCTATAAATTAAAATATTCATTCATCTGCCGTAAATAATAATAAATTATAATACAAATACCTACCTATTACCTATATAGGTAGGTACTGATTATTATTTATTATAATATGTTATTTAATCGCCATTAGGTACCTGGTACTTATATGGATACCAGTGTACCATCTGGATATTCTTGTGGCCGCTTCGTGTCTCATATGTTGTGTACATTGTGCGGCTACCACGAAGCGCGCTACTCAGGGCTGGCGGTATTTTTGGTATGCCGGTAATTACTGAGATACGGTTTGAAAAATACCGGTATACGGTATGTTATTTTTGAGGAAATTCTGTAGTGGAAAACGTCTTGGTTTGGTGCGGTATGTTGTGTAACCGTGGTGTAAAGGCGGGTTTCCACTATACGCGTCGTGTGCCGAGTGCACGAAAAATGTTTAGCTATGCCCAAAAACACGGTAACGTGGATAATCGAGTGGTAACCTAACCTGAACAACCAATCACAGCAAAGGATTTATATGCACGTATGCGCTCACGTGTATAATGGAAACCCGCCTTAAGTTTGTTCTTTAGACATATAAAGTCGTGATAAGTCGTTATAAATATGAATAGTGAATAGTGATAGTGGCAAAATTATAAGCAAATTCGACCACGATTCTGGTTACTAGAAGTAAATAGGCTAAACGCTGGATTCTGGAGTTTGCAATGTTTGAAAAAGTTTGCAACGTTTTCCGCTATAGAATTTCCTCTTTGGTAATTTTCGGGGTACCAATGGTACCATATTACCGGGGCTCAATATTTTCAGGAATAACTGGGATGCGGTATTTTCGGTATTTACCTGGTTTTTGGTTATTACCGAAAATACCTCATAACTGGTAAACTGTAGATACCCGTAGTAAACAAATACCGGATACCTACCGGTATTAAAATTTGAAATACTGCCAGAGCTAGCGTTACCAATTATTATTTTACGATACATAAATGAGTCGGCATACTTTAGAACGTACTTATATTAATATACATTATTATAAATTAATACGAGTTATTAGTGATTTTTTTCTCATTGACTGATCTATTCTTATTCCAAATTTTAACTGTTTCGATCCATTAAAATTATCAAGAAATCTATACGTTATTACTTTAATTCGATGCGTTTCGTTAAAAATTGATGTCATGCTTGAGCTTAAACCATGTCGCCATACTATACATAAGTGCTAAGTGCAGTAAACACTAGTTAAATGTCAATGCCACAAGTCCGAGACGCTTACTCAAAAATTGGAGATGCTGCATAATGGTAAAAAATAAAATATGTATAGGATAGTATAATTTATATAATTACGATTTATCACAATTTGTCGCAGTATCTTAAGAAAGACATACCATAATTTGTCATTTTCATTTTTTTGTGTCTACCGCCTACATAAAAAAATACTTGGGTATTTAATATTTATTGCCTATATTATAAAATCATATTTTTTTATAACAAAATACACAAATACACAAAGGCTATTGGCCACCACTTAATACTCTACAACATACGTTTATACATTTTACTGTAAAAACTAACACAAAGTTTTAAAAAGATTGAGTGACCGAACAAATTATCAATTACCGATAAGTTATAAAAAAATTCGTCTTGGTGAAAAAATAAAACAATGAATGTATTCCTCAATATATTGGTCATCGTACCTAACAGGGAAAATTATTTTAAATGGAATTCGTCAGTCATTTCTAGAAATAAACTAATCTATTTGATTTTTTTATCATTTGTCAAAACAATATTGTTTTTTCTAGGCATTAGATATTTTATAAGCATGGTTAAAATGTACACAATGTTGACGTTGAGATAAATATTATTGAAGTTTAATTTCGGGACAATTATATTATATACAATCGCTTTATCGGGACACCCGACGTTATATTCAAAACCGGTAGATACAGTCTCAGCCAAAATGAGACCCTATAATATACATAGTACTAACAGTATTAATAGTTAACGGTAACACCTCTGGTATATTAAAAAGACAACAACAGCCAATCAAAATACTGTGATTTTAACACCGAGTGTTAAATTATGGTCGACACCAGTGGGGGGCATCCCATCTACTAAACCTACAATTTACAAAGGACATTATAGATGAAAATATAAAGAACTGGATAAAAAATCATCCACTAGTTATTCTCTAAGACCTAAGTAGTAAGTATCACAAAATACATCAATACATAATCAGGATTCAGGGGCATCCCAGGACAGTTTTTAAGGGAGAGGGGGGTGAACCTAAAAGTTAAAATTTTGATAATTATTATTTTGTTGACAACGAGAGTAGTTACTAGTTGTATTAAAAGTTGTTAAGGGGGGGGGGGGGGTGAATGCTTCTTCACCCCCAGGGGACATTAACAATGTTCAGAGGGTCACATCCACTTTCAATTTTTTCATTTTTTTTTCGGGCTGTGTCAAATTTTTATTTGTCTCAAAGTTTTAAAAAAATGTGTCTTGACAGTTTTAGTAGAAAATATATTTAAACTTCCATTTCGAGGGTGGTTACTTGTAACGTATTGAGTATATAGTTGGAAATCTGAGGGTCAAAAGAAAAATTGTAAATTAAATTTAAATATATTCAGAAATACAAATGTATCTAACTAAAAACAATTTGAAAAACCTGGAATTTCTACACAAAACTAATTTTTTAACGAAATCGATTTTTTTTTTGCTGCAACAAAAATAAATATTCAACTGTTGAGACTTGAAAATTTTTACCGAACATTTATTTAACTAATTATCAGGCAAATCATATTTTTTAAGCTTTTGTGTGCTATTTATAGATATTTACAATTTTTGACTTTTTTTAGTTTTTTGTTTACTTTATATTATGTAGCGTAATTAATAATTATTTATTATAAAATTACGCATTTAAGTCGTTACATTAAAAAAAAAATATTCTACACTAATGTAATCTAATATTACTTCTAATATTGTAATCTCCCAACATAAATCACGAAATTCGTTAATTTCACGTTAATTAAAAAATAAATGTAATAAGTTAAATGTGTTTTGTTTACATATTATTATATTAATAAATAATATAGATATTGACTATTATGAGCTACCTAACTCAAATTGTATACACCTTAATTCTTCATACGCTTATTTCTTTTTGTAAATTTCTTTTTAACTTTATAATTGTAATTTATATGTAATTATTTTTCTGAATTCCTGGGCCCCCCCACACGAGTCATCTTAGTGGGGCCCAGTATTCATATTATGTATATGAAATAAAATAAAATAAAATAAATAAATTATATATGTGTATGTGCATGTTAAACTATTATTGCTCATTAATCAATTTAATGAATATAGACTATTAAAATGTTTTTTTAGTTGTGATGGGGGGGGGGGTTGCATTGGATGTAACAACTGATCAGGCTTCATTTACCGAAAATAACTATTGCAATATTACTAGTTCAGTTTATTTTTGGAATCTGTATAAAACTGTAAAAGCTATAAATTAAAAAAAACCTTTATACTACAAATAAGATTATAACCGGATTATCGTCTTTTCCTTGTTTTTTCATTGATTTTATTATTGTGTACCCCGTTTATTTTCTTTGTAGTTTTTTACATTGTCTTTATGTGTGGTAACCTTAGTTTACATAAGTTGTTATGAATATTATTACATTTGCGCTGCCACATTGGAACGGTCATTTCTAGGACCGACCACCAAAATAATCACAGTTCTATGGAAAGTAGGGAATCACTAACACTATATTCTACTTCGAAAAATCGGACATAACACGAGGTAAACCCAACTATAAGTCTTTCAAAAATTAGCGGAATGGAATTGTCATATTTGTAGAGCAACATGCTAAACGACGTGGGGCAAGCGATGCGATTTTCAAGAGACAGCCGCGGTGACTCAAACGCCTGACCAACGAGTACCTACTAGTTATTTTACGTGAAATTCTGCGAATACGAGTCCATTTCACCTCCAAGAATATCTTCTATCACCTGCATCGTCCTCGAATATCTTTCCACTGAAGAAACAGAAGAACGAAGATCTAGAATACCATATTAACCGAGCAGCAGCGACGAGTGTTCGGAACCTAAGTGATTAACGGCTTCGCGGCTTTCGAGACTGTCTTGCGAAATCGGTCTACTACCTACCTGACAAGTGACAGTTGACCGGCCAATTAACCAAGTGATGTAAACTCGTTTATAAAATATGTAATCGAAATAACATTTTCCACTTCCAAAAAAAAATAAGATAATTTTTACTCTAGTAAATTTTGATCGTTTTAATGGTTTGATTTTACTTTTCCGTTTAGCTTGTCGCTTAACAATCCGTCGTAGCGTCGCCTCACGTAAATAGAAATTTCCTGAATTTTAATAAATAGCTCCGACAGCCTTGAACAGCAATCGAATCAATCAAGTGCGATTGAAGCACAA